ATGTTGTGATACTACTTTGAATATTGTGGCCTTGTGGATGAGTTGGGCTATGATTTGTCTGGTAAACTACAAGATTCCCTACTTGAGATTCAATCTGATCTCCACATTCCAAGTGCTCAGCCCGTTCAAAAAACTTGGGAAGGATATCTGGATAAGTCGACTACCTACTTTGTTTAGTAAACTAAGAAAGAATTGCGTGTGAATTGGTATATAACTTTGATTTGACCAAATAGTTATGTTTGTTTCTGTAGGAAGTTCTTGCACGACTCTTAGGTCTATATAGGGTGGTAGACCAAGAAACGCACTTGGTCGTGCTCTAAGTTCCAAACATAGAATTCTAATTCCGTGCAATACCTGATTTTCTTTTTTTTTTTTTGTGTTTGCTTTGTTTTGTTAAATACTTCTTTGTGTTTTTTGGGTCAAAATTTTTCCTTGTTCACCCATAAAATTCTCATAAATTACTAAAGTATTCCATTCTTGTTTGTGAGAATTCATTTATCTTGAATTGAAATCCTTTTCTTTAATCTTGGTTCCCTATATATAAAGAATGATAAATTAAATTAGAATAATTCTAAGGTTTGAAAACACAATTTTCAATAATGATAACACAATGACTTTGGAAACATAAGGGTGCAACTTTATAGAGCTTATTGTGCAACATTTACAGCTTGAAGTGCATTTGTAGTATRAGTACCGAACAAATGTATTTTTGTGCCATATAGATTTGTTTTATAATTGACATAAGAAGATGTTTCTTAAACTGGGTACTTTGAGCCCTCTGGGTGGGATTTTCTATTTCAGCCATGGGGAGGGATGATACAACCAATGAGCCAAAGTAGAGGGAGAATAATCCAGATTGGTTACATGCATATTATCATGTACTTGATATTCACGCAAAAGTGATCCAAACCGCTTGGGAAGGAGACAGTAGATATACTAATCGGTCGAATTAAGCCCGCACTTATCTAATTGAATATTTATACTATATAAAGTGAATATTTGTCTTGTTTTGAGTGTAAATCATAAAAATCAAATCACATATTTATTAGAATCTTATTATATAAGAGTTTTCACTTTTGCTCTTTCATTATTAGGCTGAATATAGGTGTATTATATGTTTTTGGGGCAGGTTGGGTTTGGAACTACCTTTTCATCTAGCTGGGCCAGGTTAGGGTTGAGGCGGAATTATACTGATCCTTAGTCCTGACTTGTTGATATTGGGAAAGCCAAAAAATTTATTTACCAATAGATTCTTGTTTGGGAGGGCTTTCACACAGTGACTTCTGGTGTTGCAAACCAGGCCCCACAAAGAAAGCCATTAAATTATGTTTGATGAGATACTAGGTAGGTGTTTGGCATCGGTGTTGGGAACATCACACTATTTTTTTGAGAAAACGGTGTTTATTTTTATTTAAAACTAGTACTGTTACATAGGCTGTTTTATGAGAAAACAACACTGGTTTTATTTGGTACCAGTACTGGCAGCAACGTTTTCAACATGGTTTATATTATCCAACATCCTAGATGATGCCACAATATTGATACCACATCATTGCACCACTGGCAGCAATGCACCGTTTTCTCAAAAAACTTTGAATTTGATGTTGTTCCAGACCACACTTTACTGATTTCCAAAGCGTGATATGGAACAACATTTTTTTCTGGAAAAACAATACCAAAGAAGAGGGCATTGTTTGAAGCACCGCTTTCTCTGATGTGGTGCCTACGTGGCACCATTTTCTAAAAAAATGGCATCAATGCCAAACACCACCTAAGAAGTTTGAAAGCCCAAAAACACTTGCATTGAATTGAGAAATTGACTATTCTGGTGAAACTAGTTTTGGTAGTTTTTTAAAGCACTTCAATCAATGCTGAAGCCCTCCCAAACGGGCTGAGAAAGTTGAAATCCATGAGCCAATTGAAAAATTATTGGGTTGTCTACATTTTTTTTTTCTATAAATGACTTTTGTGAAAAGCCAAATTTCCAGTTACATAATTGCAAAAATTTGTATTATTTTCAAATTCACATATTATAGGGCTTCAAACTACAAAGAAAGGGATGCAATGAAATAGACCAAGGATCTATATAGCAAGACCTCACACCCACTGAAAATCAAAGACAGCAAGAATTGGGTTTTATTCTCCAAGTTTAATTTGGCTTCCATACTGAGCGAGGAATTGAGAAGACTCAATTGCTTGATTGGGTATTTACATGTATGTTATCATCTTTGTTTGGAGAATATGTTATTGTGAGAACCGATGCAATGCACATAAGATTTGAAAAGAAATTTAGTGACAGGCCAATAGACTATAACTAAAAAAATGAACCGAAAGAGCTAGAGATGGGTCCATATAGTGATATAGACACCAAGGTGAGAGGGCCGTTTACCTCCCATCAATTCCCTCTTTCTATTATTAATAAAGACCTACTAATAAAATCCCATTTTATTGTTTGTTGGATCTGGTTAACACTAGTAATCAATATATTTCTTATTGAATTTCACTTCTCATAATCATCATCATCGTTTAAGTCTTATCCCATTCATATGGGATCCTCCACTACATGAACCCACCCTGTTTCGCTACTGTCAATACGTTCCCTTTAGTATCATGTCTTTTATTGAATTATAAACGTTTAAATTGTTTTTTTTTGAAATTCACTTATCATTAACATCATCATCATCATCATCATCATTTAAGCCTTATCCAAATTATATGGAATCAAGTTAATCGTCTATATGAATCCTATTTCACCATTGCGTTTTGCTTAATCTTATTGCTTCCACTTCCACCCATGTCATTTTCGGTCTACCTCTAGCCCTTCTACCACATTCAACTTATATAATATATCACTTTCTTACCAAATTTCATTGTTTACCAAAAACATTGAATTTCCCTTATCACTAATACAATACATTGATTATATGTTCAATCCCTTTCGAATAAATAAACCCACATAACCCACATCTCTTAGATGAGAACTCAACTTTCACATGTAAAGAAAAGGATCCCAACCTTGACCATTCAGGCATATTCTATCCCTTTCCTAGCTTAATTTTTTGTTAAATAACTAATTTTTTTGCCACTTTGGATGAAATCCATTGGCCTCAATCATGAAAAGAGAGAAGAGTAAAAGTAAATGCATGCTCCCCTTTTGACTGTAAAAGTAAAATTGCCCATGATCAAAAGCAAGATTCTTACCCTAATTTGCCTGAACTGCATAGCAGAGAAATGATGGAGTATAACTTCAAATCTTTATCCATTTTTGTCTAAACCCTAAAAACGCACTTTACCCTTTGAAGGAGAAAGCATTTATTTATGGGTAAGGTCCCCCACACCCCACACCCAAATCCATCTCCTCATTTCCTGTGGGCCCTCCCCGATGCTGTGAATCATAAATTCATTCCTCCCAAACCCGTATTAAATGCTGAAAGTGGGGCCCACAATGGTGTGATTTTACCGGGTTTGGATAAAATGAAAGACCCATTTTCTTATACGGTGCAAAACTGGAAATGCAAAAAGCAGTGAAACCCGACCCACATGTTGAAATTTGACTGAATATGGTTCGGTTGATCCTATACCGATCCAGCATTTTGTGGGTCCATTTCCAGATCCGAATCATTTTTTTGCTCTTACTGGATAGTCAATGGGTTAATATTGTCAAAAGTAGGATTAAAGTGTCACTAGACATATTTACAAGGGTAATATCGTCATATTAATGTAAACAAATGTCTTAGCGTAGAAATAATCCCTTCTTTACGAGAAAAAACCAAAACCATGAACAAGTGGGTGGCGCGAAAACAACGTCCGTTACAGACTCCTTCCAACGTCCTTCCTAACTGAAATCTGTTCCTTTCTTACATTTTCTTCCCTAATTTTTCTTCTTCTTCCAGATTCGATCTTCAGTTCTCGCGTGGTTTGGACTCTTGGAGAAACCCTGCCGCTTTCTTGCCGGAAATTTTGTCGCTTGATAGTCGTCCGGCAAGTGGTCGCCGTCCTCGGATCGAAATCTGGAGTATCTGAACTTGGATCTTCGTTGCTGGGAAATCTGGAGTTCTTTGGATAGACAGATTGAAGCAAGGGGGGTGTTTTGGTTGGAGTTTTGAGGTTGTGTGGAAACTGGACTGGACTTCAAAACGCTGTCTTTTGACTCGAGATTTTGGAAACCGTGATCTGGATTACTGAGGAGTTGTTTTCGGAGGGAATTACAGGTTGAGAAGTTGTTGGAATTTTGAATTAGGGTTCAGAAGGTTGATAGTTTTGACAAGTTTGAGTCTGAGAATCTGGATTCGTTCTGGTTGATATACACATATAGTTGCTTTTGGGAGAAGTATGATCTGGTGTGGATTTCAGAGGTCAGTTCATTATTTGCATTGGACTTTATTTTGGTTTTTAGGGTTTATGATGATTTATATAATATATAATATAATGGTCTTTCTATTTTTCTTTCTTTCTTCTTGTGGAGTTATTAAAAAATCTCTCTGTTTTTTAATGAATCCATAAAAATTTTCTGAATGCATTCAGGATTCAATCGAATTGCTGGCTATGTCAAACCTCTTATTTATTAAAGTTTCTCAGGCTAATAGTTATGTATAAAAAAAAAGTTTCTCACGCTAATAGTTAATTCGAAATTACGTGATTTACTTATAAATGATGTTTTAATCCTGAAAATAAGGAACATTAACCAATTAAATACACACTTAACAACGAATCGTTCACGTAAATCGATAACTCGTCTTAAACTAATCCTATTTTTTCTATCTATATATTATCCGTCTCGTTTACTAAAAACAAAAGATTATCGTTCCCAAATATAAAGTAATTGAATGAGCAAAACCGAACGATTAAAAACTCTCTAGAAGCAGTATAAGAGATCAAAATTGTTTGTTTATATTCTTTAGAAAGGGCCTTGTTTGTTTGATAAAAAAAGGCTTTACTTGTTAATGCTTTTACTGTAAATTCATGGGGATGGACAATGTTCTCCATTACACGTGGACATCCATGTCTGTTACCCTGTTCCATAACCCTAGAAAAAACTCATAGAATCTGCTTCTGCTAAGTCTTCAAATCCGAACAAAAAAGCTCCATAAACGAAAATCTGGAAAATGCAAACAAACAAGGAGCTCCATAAATGCATTTTGTGGTTTCAGGTCACGAGCTCGGTATTACCCACGAAAAACGGTTAAAAGCGGAAGCAAAAACCATCTGCTATTTCTCCTCGAGTAGGCCTGATCCCAAGATAAAAACCATTTCTCTGCTCTCGGATTTTCTTACATCTTTACCCTGGTCGTCGCCACCATTACTATTATACTTATAGAGAGAGAGAGAACTTTCTCCGTTCATTTCATTGTCTTTCAATTCCTTTCCTGAAAAGGAGTTGAAGAAGCAGACCAGAAGGTGTGCACCCACTTCCAGCCCGACCGACTATGGCATTCCCGTGAGGGGGATAAAAGGAGAGGGAAAAGAATTCTCTTATCCCACGTACCAATCGCTTCTTTTCATACATCTCCTTTCCCCAGTGAATCCGAGGCCTAAGGTCTAACCCTTGTTGCTTCTTGCTATCCAACGGCTTCTCCCATGATTTCATTGTTTGTTATGAATCGAGTGATGACCATTTAATACATGTTTAGCCCACTCCGCTATTTTCTGCAATTTAGAACGACAGATGTCTCCGGACTCACTAGTCTCATTCTCATGGCCTGATCTGCTTGGATTTGGGCTCCTAATGAGCAGAGAAGAAAACCCATTTACAGTGGTGAGTTGCATTGCTGAGTGTCATTTTTAATCAGATCTGGGTGTCTTTAAAGATTTTTTTTTTTTTAATTTTCTCTGTATGTGCAGTTCCTTTTTATTTTTATTTTTTCTTTTTCTTCTCTGTAATTCCTCTCTTTTGGTTGTATATTTGTTCAGGTTTTTTGCACAGAGAGGGATCTTCTTTTTAAGGGTTCGGTGCCATTTCTTTAAATGGGGAGCATGAAAATCTGTCATGTGTGCCTACAGATAAATGAAGAACATATCAATGCGGTCTGACTTTGATGGTGTGGATTATGAAGCAGAGCAGGCACCACAGAAGGGGATAGTAGAGGAGACTACAAGGCCACCGCTTGTTCCATCCGAGAAGAACAATGCAGCCAATGGAAGGCCTAAAACGAGGGAAGTTACATCTAGGTACAAGGCTGGGATCACATCGCCTTCCCGCTCCACACCGGATGTCCGTAGGCGGTGTCCATCGCCTAACGTCACACGGACTGTTTCTACATCATCCCCTTCGCTCCCCAAGCGAGCTCAATCGGTTGGCCGGAGGCGCCCTTCCACACCACCTTCCCCACCAAGGCCTTCAACGCCAGTCCAAGATACGTCTGCAGAAACACACACCTCTTCCAGGAGGATGAGCGGCAGGACACCAGAGGGCTTGTGGCCCTCAACAATGCGGAGTCTTTGTGTTTCTTTCCAGTCAGACACTTTCTCCCTTCCCATTACTAAGAGAGAAAAACCAGTTAGCCACGCTTCTGATCACACCTTAAAGCCTTCATCCAATGTGGCATATAAGCAGGCTGAATCACCTGCTGTTCAGCGCAAGGCAACACCTGAGAAGAAAAGGAATCCCCTTAGAGGGAAGAACGCCTCTGATCAGTCAGAGAATTCAAAGCCTGTAGATAATTCATATGCTCGAGTGATAGATCATCATAAATGGCCTAGCGCAACAGGTGGGAAGTTATCTCCTAATGTCTTGACAAGAAGCGTGGATCTTACTGACAGGAGTAGCAGAAGAGCTTCTTTTCCACTTCCAGTAAGAGGGGTTTCTCCAGTGGGGAGGCCATCAACACATGATGGTTTGGGCAAACGGCTACAAAAAACTGCTTGTGACGTAGCAAAGCAAATAACATTTGATGATAGTGGGAGAGTGGAGTTTGAGAGGGATATAGGTGATGACAGTTCATTGAGACTGTCTGGAATTCACAAGTCTGTTCCTTCAAGTGTTGGGGTTTCTTTGGGTTCATCAGAAAGAACTTTGTCAACAACTCGCACCAGTAGGTGTCAGCGTCTGCCATCACCAAGTAAAGCCTTGTCAACTCCTTCTAGAGGGGTCAGCCCATCCCGGACAAGGTCATCTAATCCTTCAATAAGCTCATTGACAAATCGATCCAGCAACTCGGCTTCTGTTCTCAGCTTTATCACTGATGTTAGAAAAGGAAAGAAAGCAATGAACCACATAGAAGAAGCTCATCAGCTGCGGCTACTATACAATAGATACTTGCAATGGCGGTATACCAATGCTAGAGCAGATACTGCATTGTCTGTCCAGAGAGTTACAGCTGAGGTAGGGCTCTTATATTTCCATGGCATGCAAAGAAGTATGTGTGCACTTATAGAAATGTCAGGTTGTCGTTTCTTACCATTCAATGTTGTGGACATGGATTGATTGCATTTAGTTGACTTACCTTTTCCTTTACTTGTTCTTTTTTCCGATAAGTAACAGTAAAGGGGAAATTTTATTGCTACAACAAAAATGCATGAACTATCAGAATTCTGGATAGCCAAACTATAAATGGAAAAATAGGATTATTCTGAGCAGACCAATAACAGTCAACTTTTTGCAAATCAGACCCTGATCCAGGCATTCCCTATACAAGATTATCCCTGACAACTCCTGTTCTGTCTTGTTGACCAGCTAGACTGTTAGCTGTTCTAGATGTCCTCCTGAATGTGGTTTTCAGGCTTTCAGCTCAGGTTCTAGCTCTCTGACCAAAAAACTGAGTGTCATGGTACCTCCTTCCCTAACTTTAACAAGCCAATGACCACTCGGCAATCCTCTTTGATGAGTAAATCTATCCAACCCACTTTTAGGTAAGTTTTGAGTCTTTAATTAGAGCAAGAAGTTCTACCTTCAAGGAGTTCCCAAAGCCAATTGACTCCAAGAAACTTGGGAAAAATATTGCCCCTATCATCTCTTATTGCTCCTCCAATACCTGAAGCTTCTAGGTTACTTAGACTGCACCCATCAAAATTTAAGTTCTTTTTACCTGCTTTAGAGACTCTCTATTCAATAATTCTTTGCTGCCTCCGTTGTTTAAAACCTGCCATAGCCTACCAACCTCTCAAGTGGTCATCCATGGTGACCCCTTTGAATTCTTCACTAATCCTAACCCATGGGTGGTTCTTACCATAATCCTAACCCATGGGTGGTTCTTACCATAATGAGGTTAATCAAGGATTGCATTTTCTATTCCTTATTTTCAAATATTCTAGCATTCCACTTACCCCGTATACTCCACAAGAGACCTGCTTTAGTATGCTTTTCTTTTTCCTTTTAGTATGGCATGAAGGTATTTGGGTAGCAAAGCACTGACAAATATTTGCAGGTGGGTTCTATAACACCCTGATATTGGACCTTGTTGATCTTGAAGTGCATCTGACCTTTTATTTTGCACTAGGAAATTAATAATACTTGCAATATTCTATGTAATATTATATTACAAAGTTCTAAAATTTTAACTATTGAGGCACATAAATACCTTCGAAGGTGGTAAATGCTATGATGCCTAGATACATTACCGGCATGGACATGGATATGGGAAATGGGGATACAACTCTCCATTTACTAAAATCCCAGGCACAGATATGGTATGCCATATGATATGTACTTTTTTTTATATCTAGTTTTTGAAGATAAGTGTCATTTTTAAGACTTATGTCTCATCAAATTTAATTACATTTGATTTTTATAGTACGATTTGTTAAAAAATATCATTTTATTTTATGGATTTTGTGGAAAGTGTTCATGCTATATAATATATCTAAAAGTGTCAATGCAGTATCTGGTGTTGTATCGGGTTTGTATCATGTCACTGATATGCTGCCATGTATAGGTACCCTTGTATCACAGGTTAAATGTCAGATGATGTGGTGGGAAAATTAAAAAATAGTAAAGTCAATCAACAAACAGGGATTTTTATGGTTTATTCATGTAAAAAAAAATCGTACCAAATATGACTTCAGAGTTTGGTAACTGCTTGTCATTTTATACAAGTCCATAAGAGTTTCTTGTGAATGAGACCTGCCTAATGGTGACCTATGCCAAAATCCTAATACAAACTCTGAAGATAGATTTTGTGATCTTGTGAGGAAGGCTATTTTAGGAAGAAAACATCTAGTCAGGGAATTTTAGTATTGCATACAGGGTCTTCCATTAGAGAGACAGAATGGGTGAGTGGTATTGTTAGACTCAAAGTTTTCTCTTCTCTTCTCTCTTCTTTTTTCTTTCTCATTATTAACAACAAGATGGTATCAAAGTTAACAAGAAGGCCGGTGATTATGATTATGATGATGATGATGATGATGATGATAGTGTTCAAATCTGTTAATCAAATTTAGATCTGTTAGTTAAATTCCTTATGTTGAAAATCTTTTCTTTCCTCCACTGCAATTCTTGTTCATATTTTATTCAGTTTTCTGTTTTTTGTTTGGTGTTTTTGGATTTCTGTCATCTTGTTAGTTCAATCTACATACTCCTAATATCAGCTCCCTCTTGTTATACTTGTTATCAGGTCTGATTTTATTGTAAATAGTAAGCCATAATTTTACTATAAATAGTAATTATGAGGAATTAGCACAAATTGTAAGTTTGTAACCCAACCTTTTCTATAAATAGTACTTTTATTTTCCTAAAAATACTAAGGCGGTGTTTGGCACATCTTTCAGTCTGTGGGAAGCTCAAAAGACAAAAGAAATGGTCTTTTCTCGTTTGGTATCACATAGACCAAAAGACTTGAAAACGAGTGCATGGAAAGACCAAAAAAGCTGAAAATTGGGAAGCTTCAAATGAAGCTTTTGGTCTTTCCGCACTGAAAAATGCCTCCCCAGCTGTTTTTAAGAGCCCGGTAATGGTTACCAAACAGTCTTGGTCTTTACAGACAATAACCACAAAGCTCAGTGCATTTTCTCATCTATGTGGCTGTTGAAAGATCTACCTAGAAAGACTTGCCAAACAGCCCCTAATTATGTGCTATGGGTTGTGTTGTTCTTGAATTGTTTGATTTTCAGAGGATCATAAGAGAAATTTCCAGATGTTTGTTGATGCCTAGGAAGCTATCCTAGAGATTCAAAAATCCCAAGAAAAATCAAAGATTTATTATTTCAGTATTGATCATGGTCATTGGAGATTGTTTTCTTAGTGAGAGTTTGCCATTGTTTGCTCACTTGCACATTTCTACAAAGCTAAGAATTGATGGGGATTTTCTCTGAAGTAGGAAGCAAGTGCCTACTACTTCTCTCTTTATTTTAAACCCAACTTATATTGGAGTTACCCTTACATTACTGTGGGGATAAGAATTCTTGATTTATTGTCTGGTGGATATACAATTAGTAGTATGGATATTTTATAGCTTTTAGAGCTCTATGGCATCTTTTGGGATTGATTCCAAAGAAAGTATGGATCCCATGAATATTGTTAGTAACTCAATTCAAATATCCAATTGAAGAGTTGTTTTGCAATGGGTAAGAACTGAAAGTGCCAGCATGAGTGCAATCAAGCTGATTTGTCCCTGTAGGCATGGTATAAAAGCTAGTAGTCACCATGTTGGAATCTTCAAGTCGTTTTTTTGAGAGAAGCCCTAGAAGATCAGTTGGTCATGTTGCTACTTGCTACCAAGATTACACTGTTTCTTTGCAAGCAAGCTAGTTAGTCCAGCTTGAGGGGGAGGATTGGAGCATTCAGTTTGTACAAGGTAATTTTAGAAAGAAAACATATAGCTAGGGACTTTAATGTAATATCAGCCCCATTGGGGTGTTTCTTTTAATTTTGGATGGTTTTCATGTTATATAAAGAGTTTCTCATTAGAGAGAGACAAGTGTCTGGTATTGTTATACTTAATGTCTCTTCTTCTTTCACTCTTCTTTCATTCTCATTATTACAATAAGACATCTAAACGATATTTACATATTCTATAAGGAATTTAGGTAATTAGATCTTCCTAGGGGAAGGCATACTGGTTCTTGGTGCTTGGCTTCACTATTAGTCCAGACCAACTTTTCACTTTGTTCCACAGGTCATATTTTTTATGTTTCCTCTTGACCTTAATGTCATCTCTCCAAGTCCCTCCATGGGTATCAGAGGTGTGATTTTTTTAAATGTTTCTTCATGTATACAAGATTCTATTCTTTTTATTTATTACAACTGTCATCATCATCATCATCAAAGTCTTATCCTGACTATATGGGGTTGGCTACATGAATCATGTTTTTTTTTTATAAGTAGGCTACATGAATCATGTTATGCTATTCTGTTGTTATTTATTAGAACTATATATTCACTAAGTTTCATATGATTGTAAAAATGATATAAATTTGTTCCATACTATGACTTACATGCTTTTTAACTGAACAAGTTAATGAAGGCTTTTTTTAATTACATTTTTCCTATTCTTGCTATACTTATCATATGCAAAGCTGGAATATGACATCAAGCAAACCTTTTCAGAAAGTATATTCTAATACTTCAATACTGAGAATTCAAGGTAGAGTTCATGATCATGCATTCTTGTCTTAATGTCTCTTGGGTAAAATCAATAGCTATTTATTGTCTGCATTCATGTACTCTTATGGTGGTCAAGGATTTTGGATCTACCTGACATTCTATAACATAATATTTGCCTCTTCACAATTTTTTTTTTCTTTTAATTTTCTGTGCAGAGAACTTTGTTCAATGTGTGGATCAATACTTCAGATTTATGGGATTCTGTCACCACAAAAAGGATCAAGCTCCAACAGTTGAGGCAAGAGCTGAAATTGAAATCAGTTCTGAACGAACAAGTAAGGTCTCTACTTAGCTAGTAAAGCATAAATATAAACAAAGTGAAATATGAATTTTGTGCCACTGGATCCACAGGTTAGCCATCATGTTCTTTGTGCTAACTTTTCTTAGATGGTGATGTTTAAAAAGACAAATAGCATTGAAAAGAACAAAGTAAACCTGGATCTAGTAACCTCTACTGCTGTTCTACCCCCAACTGATAGAATCCTACCTCCTAAATGATATTACCATTTACTAATACATCTGTTTCTCTCTCTCTTTCTCTCTCTCTCTCTAATATATATATATATATATATATATATATGATAAATGTACACTTGATTCTATATTGGTGTTGATATATTTATTCTTCACATAACTAACAAGAAAATATTATGAAAAATGTAAAAGAAAAATACAGAAGCAAGAAGAAAAGTGGAGTATATAAGTGAAAGGCAGACTAGGAAAGGGAAGTATTATAATGGTACTGGCTTCCCTTTTTTCTGGCTCTTAGAAACTCATCCAAACATAAAACTTTTCTTTTCATTTTGATAAGTCTGGCCTTGGAAACTTCATCAATCATAAAAGGCCCTTTTACCTAAAATTCATCCATCAATCTTTAGGTCAATCCATGATAGATAGGGGATGCCCAAATAGTCTACCATTCTAGCATTTATAGCAAGAAGAATTTTCTGGAATACATAATAGAAATATTTGACTAATTTGAAAATAAATTTGTCCATTCTGTTGGTGCTGATAGGGACACTTTTTTGATAAATGAGGCACATTCATGATTTTCCTAATGTACTTCGCTTGAATGAAATAAATACCTACAAGCATGTACTTTCATTATTATCATTAGGGTGTTTTTGGCCTTTTAACTGGGGGATGTGCCCTGTTTAGCAAAAATGGAATGCGCCCAATTCAGCACCCATTCTTTGATCTTGCAACTTTATTTTGAACTCCCACAGTTTTCTTTTTGTGAAACTGGTTTTGTTAGTCTGGTTTTGTAAGACATAGTAATCTATAGGCTAGTGGTTTATATTTTTTAATTAATTGTTATCTTTCTTTATTTTGAACACCAAAGTTTGCTTATTTTAGTTGCTTATTTGCTTCACCAATTTCATATTCTTACATTTGATGTAATAATGATTGATTCAGTTGGCTTACCTTGAGGATTGGGCTTTGTTGGAAAGTGATCATCTTAGTTCCTTATCTGGAGCTATTGAAGCTTTAGAGGCTAGCACTCTCCGTCTTCCAGTTACTGGAGGAGCAAGGGTATGCATTATATATTAAATGTTTTTTAATAACTAAATTTAGTAAAAATGAATTGTATATTTAATAAAGACAATTTCTATAATGGGAAATAGTTGGAACCTTTACTGGTATTATACATTTACAGGGAGATATTCAGACTGTGAAGGATGCTATTTGTTCGGCAGTTGATGTGATACAGGCAATGGGTTCTTCCATCTGCTCATTATTGTCAAGGGTGAGATTGATATTTTTTCTTGTTGTTCACCAATATAATGTAGTCATGATTAATCTATGTAGCTATTTTTGTTTTCCATGTTTACTTGTATGTTCAACTTAGATCCTTTGTTTTCTATTTGTTTTTATATTAATATTTTAATCTCCTCTACCAATTGAAATTGGAGCTCTCATTGGCAATATTAATTGAATTTCATTAGAAATTATCTTCCAGTGGACTTCTCAATTTATTATCAATTTCTCATAATCTCATGCTTGTGAGAAATTTTTGTTGAGTCCTAGACCTCTAATGTACAATGACATATTTGATTTTAAGATATGTACTTTCGCTTTCAATTTACATTTTGGTATTCATTTTCATTTTTCTGATAGTAAATAAAAATTTATTAAAAGAAAAATGAAAACGAATACAACCCTAAGTAATATCACCAAGAAACACAAAAATAAACAATACCCACCTTGTCCCTTGCAGAAACATCAACTCTGCCCAACTAAACCAATAAAACTAAAATGAAAATCTAGCAAACCCATAAACACCCAATCCTCTACCAGTTCCCACATCTAGAGACATACTTCTCAAACAAAAAACACGAGGAAGAAAAGTCTCATGAGTCCTAGACCTCTCTTAAAAGTATTCAGAAAGTAGTACCAAACAACAATTGTTATTTCCAATCAACCATCAGCTCCTCACCCTCACCCCTTTAAGTCACCCCCCTTCACCTCTTCCTGAACCTCCACCTTTCTATCCCCTCTGCCTTCATAATTCATATAATTTTCTCCTCAGCCTACTTAATGTATTACATGTCAAATTATGCACATATGGAATTAATGTTTTTCATTCTTCTAATTCCATAAATTTTCTGGTACTCTTCTCACCTCCTATGAAGAACAACCAATTTCTTACCCAACTCTACTTCTTTATCAAACACCTTATCAATATGCGTTTTCCTATCCTTCCCAACAACTTCATCAAATTAAACAAAATCTTCTMCAACTTACTTCTCCTCCCCCATTTCCAGCACCTTACCATCCCCATGTTTTACACAATCTCTAACCAAAACTTCCAAAAAGTCTGCAGAGGGGCATGCACTATTTTTTTTTTATTTTCTAAGAGAGACCATTTTTTGGTAGTAAATAAAAAAGAAAATTTATTAAGAAAAAGTAGACAAATATTACAATAAAGGTGATAAGGAATAAGCCATAAAAGAAAGAAAAGAAAACATCAAACCCAATCTCCTCTAACCAACAAAGATAAAATCCCAAGGCCTGTAAATGAACAACACATCACCCTATCCTGACTACATCAGGCCCCCAACATACAGACATCAATAAGACAAGGCGCCCCCAACATACAGGGGGGGCCTTGTCTCCTAGTTTCCTAGGCGATGGATTTTTTAAAATAAAAAACATATATCCTACGGTAGTCCTCTGAAGTGCCATAACCATATTCCCTTAATAATTATCCGTAATTTTCATAAGATAAGTATAAAATTAATGTTGAAGAATAGAAAATCAACATATTCATGAGAAAAAAAAAGAAGAAAGAAAAGAAAATTCAAAAAATATAGGGGCTGAATCCCTAATTTTGTTATAAGAAATTAGTATATAAACACACAAAATGAATATTCTAGTTTAATAATGTTTATTTTATAATTATAGTCTCAAAAAATATAAAAATATAAAAGTATTTTATAACACAACATACAAAACTGCTTGGCAATTAGGCGAGCCTCCAAGGGTGCCCTGTCGCCTAGGCGTTGTCTTGACAACTATGAATAAGACTCAAACCCTTAACTCCAGCTACCTATCGACCTGCCCTACCAATACCAAACCTCAAGACCTGAGTAAAGTTCTACACCCAAAGAACATACTTTCAACTTAAAATTTTATCATTATCTTGTACAATCACACAGCCTCTCCAGCATCTGAAACATGAGTCTCTTTACTTCTCTTGATAACTCTCTTTGTTTTCTTTACTCTCTTGATGGGACTGACCCCAAATAAGCCACTTTTCAATCTGGCAAAAACTTCTGAAATCTGAACAGTCCAATTATATTTCTGCCTTCTAAACCTTCTTACTGCAATAGGAATATTCTCAGGCACCATCAACATCTTAGTGTTGTTATTGATCCTTTCTAACTATAAAACCACATTCTTTTCAAATATTTGATCTGCTCCCATCTCATCACCCTCCTTAAAGCCATTCCCCTCCACTTCAGATATTTTCCTACTAACTTGCACAGCACCATTTCTTGTAATTGCTTCGTTCTCATCAGGGATCAATTTGTCTTTCTTCCTTCCCTTTGCAGGTAAGCCATACTTCTTTTCTAGCTCTTTGAAAGTTTCCTAACAAATTTCTCCTCCCTGGGGGAAAACAAACCTAAAGATTTACTCCCACCGCTATATCATGTTCATTATCACCACCATCCCCAAGTTTAATGTGCTTTCAATATCCAAACATTCACCTCCAGCATCAATATTCAAAGTGAGACACCATGCAAAACAGTCTGGTCATTGACCAAGTTCTCCACAGCTTTCACAAGTCCTCTTGCATATTCTCTTAAATTTCTTACGAGGACCAGCTCCACAAAGCCCTTTTTTTAGTTGGGTAAGTATTATTTGTCTTATTTTTTACTTTTTTTTGATAAATGAATGCAATTTTATTAAACAATGAAAGAGTGTACAGTCAGCCTAAGAGGATGCACGAGGTGTTACCTCCCCCTAGGACTGAACAATATGCACATAAACACACACAAGCCTGAATTACAATTATAAGGTATCACAAAACAGATCTCCCCTTGATCAGTGTTTTAAAAGCGCAAGGCGCAAAAAAGGCACAGGGGCCAATTTGCGCTCGAGGTGCAAGGTGCAAGGCGAGGCATGCACCTTTTTGAAGCAAGGCACAAAAATACAAAAAAAAATAAAAAAATAAAAAAGTCAGGAAATTAAAAAAATGCCAAAAATAAAAAAATTAAACATAATATTAATAAAAATATAAATATAAATTTTAAAATAAATGTTTTAAAAAGCTTATTATCTAAAATTAAAATACATAAACTTAATATGTAAAGCATATTCAAATGAGAATTTAAAAATAAAATCAAACATATAAAACATTTTCAAGCATGTAAAACCTACACCTCTTTTTTTCCTCAATTGCATTACTTCAAGTAACTAATGTGATGTAAAACATATTACATTCTTGATTCTACGAGCTGCCTTTGTGCCACGCCCCTCGAGGCAAGCCCAAACAAGTCCATGTTAGGGTCTTAAGTTCTTAATTCTCATATAAAAAAAATAATGATTTTATAATTTTAATTGCTTTCTAAGAAGATATTTTCTTAGGATGAATGAATGAACAATATTAGTAAATCAGGGGTTCTCGGAGTTTGTTTGGGCTTGCCTCGAGGGGCGTGGCATGGGGGTCCGGGGGTGGAGCCCCCGACCTAGCCGCTAGGTTCAAAAAAAGCAAAAAAAGCGTCAAATTTTCAAAATGTGCATGCCTAGGCGTGCACCTTTCGAAAGGGCTGCGCCTAGGACCTAGGTGAGGCGCCGTTGTGCCTAGGTGCACCTCAGGCGTGCCTTTTAAATCACTGCCCTTGATACCCCTTGTTTAGCCATAGAATCAGCCATTGCATTTTCCGATCAGCTAACCCACTGAATCCTAATTGTCATGTTTCTTGTCAGCCAATTAACTTTCTTTAAAACATCCCTATAACCCCAACAAGTTGTTTCTGGATTTGTCAGCCAGCCCACTACTACCTTGGAGTCAGTGTTTTAAAAGCGTAGGGGTCAATTTGCGCCTGAGGCGCAAGGCGAGGCACGTGCCTTTTTGAAGCAAGGCACAAAAATACAAAAAAAGCTAAAAAATAAAAAAAAAGCCAAAAAATTCAAAAAAATGCAAAAAAATTAAAAAAATATTAAACATAATATTAATAAAAAATATAAACTGAAATTTTAAAATAATGTTTTAAAAACCTATTGTCTAAAATTAAAATACATAAACATAAGATGTAAAGCATATTCAAATAAGAATTTAAAAATAAAATCAAACATATAAAACATTTTCAAGCACGTAAAACCTCTAATCTCTTTTTTCACTCAATTGCATTACTTCAAGTAGCTAATGTGAAGTAAAACATGTTACATTCCTGATTCTACGAGCCGCCTATGTGCCACGCCCCCCGAGGCAAGCCCAAACAAGTCCATGTTAGGTCTTAAATTCTTAGTTTTCACACAAAAAAATAATGATTTTATAGTTTTAATTGCTTTTTAAGAAGACATTTTATTATGATGAATGAATGAACATTACCAAATTGGGCATGGCATGGGGATCCGGGGGCGGAGCCCCCAGCCCAGCCGCTATGTTCAAAAAAAGCAAAAAAGCAAAAAAGCATCAAATTTTCAAAAGGCGCACACCTGAGCTGAGGCGCAAGGCGCACCAGGCATGCGCCTTTTGAAAGGGCTGCGCCTAGGACCTAGGTGAGGTGCATACCCTGAAATGTGCCTTGCTTGTGCACCTAGGCGCGCCTTTTAAATCACTGCTTGGAGTCCCTCTCAACTATCAAGTTTTCCACTCCAAGTTGACTAGCCAGCTGTATGCCTTGTACCGCTGCTAGCTCCACAAAGCCCTTCTAAACAATAAAAAATAGGGATATGAACCAATATTTGGTTCTGCTTCTTCAAATGCATCACACACACATACACACTACTACCATCAAAATTTATTCTCATTACCCCTTCCACACTAAAGATAGGGACCCTCAAAGGAAGTAAAGTCCTTTTTTTATCAGCAACACAAATGAAGATTTCATTCATGACATAATTAGATAAAGGAGACTAAGGAGTATGTAGAAACCACTGATGTGGTCCCCACCTCTTTCTATTGTACTCGTATACAACTACTAGTTATTTAAGTGTCAGTCCACAATTAGTTGTTAGTCTTTTATTAGGACTTTAATTGTTATTTTTTATTAGAATTTTAATTTTGCAATGTAAGCA